GTGTGTGTGTGTGTGTGTGTGTGTGTGTGTGTATGGGTGTGTGTGTAAGTGCAGATAAACTGTTCGAAAAGATAGAAATCAAATAAAGCAATAAAAGAAATCTGAGAGTTTGAATTAAACAAATACTCGTACAGTTTCACACTCTAAAGTCGCTTAATGACGCTGAGTTATGCAGGTCGGACGGAAGACTATTTCACAGCTCAGCCGCACCGTATCTGAACGACCGCTTATAAAATTCCGTGCGACACAGAGGCAGTGAGAGAATATATCGTCTTGCACTCTGGTATCTCGCTGAGTCACATTACTTTTGTAATACTCAAACCTACTAAATGGAACATTAGGAACCTCTGAATGCAGAATAGAAAAAAATCACATTACCTGTGAAGTAATTACGTCGCGAATTAATCTTAAGCCAACGGAGTCGATTAAAATAGGGGATGATATGATAGAGAGAAAGAGAGAGGGAGAGAGAATTTACAATTCGTGAGTTCAGCGGAGAAGCAAATATAGCGGAACGCGTAACGATGAGCCTCCATGTATGTACATATAATAGATCGATGGCGCACGTGGCTGAGTTAATTTCCTCGGCCATTGTGAACGATACCCCGAAACCGTGGCCGAAAGACTTTCCCTATACGCAACGACGCCCGACGGCGGCGATTCACGCGTATCGGCGAGCGAAATGAACACACGGAGTACATAAACTCTCTCCCGTTCAAATAGCGCACGGCCGCAGCGCACAATGGGACTGGGAAATAACGCTGCAGCTCGTGCAGGCTGTCACTCTTTCCGAATTTCATCGAAATTCCGCGTAACGCGATCGCGGGACACGCGACTGAAAATGAAAAATCGGAGGCGCCTGGAGAAACGACGGCTTTTCCGCGTCGTTCATTAGCCCTCCCTCCCTTTTTTTATTTCCCTGGAAACTGCAGGTTGACGTCGCGTACGTTACGACCGTTGGTACTTAAAATTGAGTGGAACCGTCAACTGCGCGACTGCGAGAAATATCGAAGTAAAAATAAAAAAAATGTGTGAGAATATCAAAATAAATGAATCATTTGAATTAATTTACAAGGAGAATGAAGTTTACCTTCTTATTTTTCGAGAGAAGTCTTTCGTTGAGAGTCATTTATTAATTCTCACGCGAATTCGCAGTTTCTGTAATAATAGAAAAATACAGTAATACACACTCTTTGGCCAATCTGATCAGTTGAAACGCCTCGCGACGATCGGCGCACAGCGGACGATGTAAAAGGATCAGTACAAATTCGTCGTGGTTTCGTCTAAGTGAGTTCTAAGCCTCGACGTTGAGCGCCAGTCCGACTCTGTGACCGCCTCTGGTGACCTTCGCGCAGTCGATGTTGAACGAGAGGACCAACGTGACGCCGTCGCTGAGCTTTTGCAGGAGGCTCGTGGCCAACTGGAGGTCGGTGTTGAACTTGAATCGCAGGGCCGACTTCTCGTCGATCTTGTACTTCGCCGCGGCTCCGAGCGTCCACTTTTGCACGTTGCCTCGTTTCGCGAATATGCCGTTCGTCGCGATGTCCAGGTCGGGCCTCGCTGAAGGGCAGACGAGAAGTGTATCGCGGATGTAGAACGAAACGATATATAGAGAGATTGAAGGATACTCGAATATTTCGCGATTTAAAAATTAATGTAAACCGGATTACCAGACATCTCTCCGCCCTCCGATGAGAGCGCGGTGGCCCCTCGTTAATTAACGTAATTAAGAGTTGCGTTTCGAGCGAATAATTTTAACCCAATTTTAAGCGAGGTCATCGATGTGTATATAGCGTAATTCTCGCGTAATCCCGACGGTGGCGGTTTACGGCCTGAGCTCCGCTTGTACGTCACCATTACAGCGAGACGCCGTCACGGACCCTCAACAACGCTAACTCTGCTAATTATCGTTCTCTCCATCCCCCCCTCTTCCTCCCCCGCGTCCTCCCGATTCCGTCGAGAAAATTGATAACGTCGTCGTGACGCCGATATGTGCTAAACGATTTGTATTACACGTCCATATTCCGCCTATCTGAGCACGGGAGCGACGGGGATCTCATTACGCTCGTCTAAGCCCCAGACACGTTTAACCCCCCTCCCCATTTACTTAACACGCGGGAAAGACAGCGGTAATTTACCAGCTCCATTCCAGTCGACGACGATGACGAGGACGCGATTTCACGACGCGAAGGGCAATGAATAAGGGGAGGGTATTACGGAGTAGACATTGAAATTACTCAATTGTCACGGGGATGATTATTCCTCCGTCGGTGACGTCGTCGTGGCGTTTCAACGCGGGGGAGGGGATCGCTTATGGAAAAATCGCCGTTTAGGCCGTTGGTCCACAATGAAGATTTTAAGCCTTATACACCGTAAGATGTTGACCAATTACAATCGATTATTCGCTCCTCACATTGGACTACGATTGATCTACTTATTTCTCAATTACTGTTTAAGCGGTGTCTACAATGAAACTTAAGACTTAAGATTCAAGAAAATTGACCAATCACAATCGATTATTCTTCTCACGTGAGATAAATAATCGACTATAATTGGTCAATTTTCTTAAATCTTAAGTCTCATTGTAGACGACGCTTTAGGGTTTAAAATCCTCATTGTGGACTGAAGGTCCACCTACAATACGTACTCTCTAAATTTTTTGGAGTGAAATTTCACTCTAAAGAGTGAAAATACTGCCACTCAAGTGGCCGAGTGACAGTATTTTCGCTCTTTTGGAGTGAGATTCACTCTAGAAAATTTAGAGAGTACGTCGTATGTCGGGTCGTAAGCCGTAAGTTGTAAGAATTGACCAATTATAATCGAATATTTTTCCTACATTCAATTGTGATTGGTCAATTTTTACGGCTTACGGTTTACGACCCGACATACGATGTATTGTAGAACGGTGCTAAACGATTGACACTTTAAGGTCTACAATAAAAGTAGTAAATCGTAAGCCGTAAGAAATTGAACAATCAGAGTCGAATATGAGAAGAATAATCGACTGTGATTGGTCAATTTCTTACGGCTTACGACTTACTACTCATATTGTAGATGGACCTTTAGTGTCGGTTCACAATAAGGATTTTAAGCCTTAAGCCGTAAGAAATAAACCAATCGTAGTCGAATATAAGAAGAATAATCGATTGTAATTGGTCGATATCTTACGGCGTAAGGCTTTAAGTCCTTATTGTGGACCGACACTTATGCGGCGTCTACAATGAGACTTTAAGACTTAAGATTTAAGAAAATTGATCAATCACAATCGATTATCACGTGAGAAGAATAATTAATTGTGATTGGTCAGTTTTTTTAAATCTTAAGTCTTAAGTCTCATTGTGGACGCCGCTTTTCAGCGCGGATCCTTCAATTTTTTACCTTTGTACCACACAGAGAGCCCGTACACATACGGTATGCAGGTGCACCGGAAGTGGAGGTCAATGTCGGCGTAGCCGTAACCGACGCCGATGTCATTCTTCGTTACCTTGTTCGTGGCCATGTCGTAGCCGGCCTGGTAGCCCAGGAGCAGATCCCAGCATTTCACCACCATCGAGCCGAGCAGGCTGGTGCCCGAAGCCAGATCGTTGGCTGTAAACGGGAAAATCCAGTAATAATTTCGACGATCCGACGCGCGATTGGATTATATTAATACACTCGCGTGATACAGTCGATAGTGTATTAACAGGGCGAAAAAGATACGCTGGGTGTTTCAATCACCCCGCGTTTTTTTCCATCGAAAAATAAAAAAAAACGAAAATCTAATTTCTTGTCGAAATTTAATTGAACGTTAAACTGTCTCTATTGGAATTCCTGAAATTTAATTCACCCGCGCCTCTCCGCCCACGGACTATTTGCGATGCGTTTTATCCCGTTGAAAAATTCAACGGGGGCGGGGAGCTCGGCGCGCCCCGATGTTCTCTCGTGTCGACACGGAAGCGCGCGAGCGGACGCGACAGAGCGTGTCTGTCCGCACCAGTCCGCACGAGCTTCCGGAAGTACGCCTGCCTGTATCGGGTCGCCATCGTCGTCGTCGTCGTCGCGGAAACTTGTGTACTCGACGGAAATTGCCGCGACTTGTTAGTAAACATTCGGGACGCGGTCGCGCTATTGTTCCCGCGAACTTCGCGTGATATTGGAAAGGAGAGTTTGTGTGCTCCCCGGGGAGGGTTAGAGCGGCGGGAGGGGGGGGGGAGAAGGAATTATTTATTAAAGTTTCGTCCCTGTTACGCAACGTGGCAATCGCGTAGCGCGAGACGGGGGAGAAGAAAGTTCGAGGGGAATTATATACTCGTGAGGACCTTCAATGGCGAGCCAGATACACGCTCCTGCGATTGTTTCCTCGCGCGTTTGATTTTTATGTTGAATTTCTTATGCTCATCCCTAAAAGAAACATCGGGAATATCATTTGCCGTTGCCATTTTTGCTGAAATAATTAATTAGATACGTCGAAGGGAGAGAAAGAGGGAGAGAAGAAGGGAGGACGGTGAGGAAAGAGAGATTTACTGTAGAAAACTCGACGTTCCAGTAATTTTTTTATACCGGATGTTGACTATTCTGCGAAGTACGGAGTATTTAATTACGGAAATGCTCCCGTATTTTTCGCAATATTAGAAAGTAGTCTGATTTTGCGTAAAGAGATAGAGCACGTGCTACTTTGTGCATTTGACGCTATTATAATGCGTGTACCTTTTGCAGTAATCGTACATGCAAAATAGATCCTTTTTAATGACACAACCTCGCATTTGATACCTCTCGTTTCCTCCGACGGGATCGGTGGAAGGTTTCGACTACGGTGTATATATAATTAGCCTCCTTCTCGTCCCTCGTAGACGAGAATAATATACGATAGCACGATATATGGAAGCCCTTTTACCCGTCGCTCAAGCAGCGGCCTGGCCAAAGCCGTTACCTTGCAAAACTTTATAAATAGAGGATGAATTTGTTCCGCGAAATTTTGTTCCGCTCGGTGCTTCACCGGGAAAGCCCCGGGCAGGTCCGACCGGGCGATTATTGACGTGGCAATTAACATTCGAGAGAACGCGAGATCACGCAGTCTTCGAACTCGAAGGGAGGAACGCGACTTCTCGAACGGCGAGCGGCGTCTACAATGAGACTTAAGACTTAAAATTAATTTTAAAAAATTGACCAATCATATAGTCGATTATTTATCTCACGTGAGAAGAAAAATCGATTGTGATTGATCAATTTTCTTAAGTCTCAAGTTTTAAGTCTCATTGTAGACGCCGCTTTGCAACGTTTACTTATTGTAGACACTACGACGTAACGGCTTAATTAAGTCTTAATGCCTATGGTTTAAGATTTAATGCTTAAATCTTAGGTCTTAAGTCTCATGTAGACGCCACTTAAATTAGACCCTAAGGGAAAATAATAGGCGCTACTAACAGATCTCGCAGCGCGCGTTGATCCTCTCGTTGGCGAAACTCGAGCCGACCTTCACGCTTTTCGCGGCCGTTTCCGGATTGTAAGAGCACTCGGAGAGCAAATCAACGCCCTTCATTAGCAGCCCGTTAAACTCGTATCCCAGGAAAAGCACACCCTCGGTCGTCCATTTTAACAGCAGAGCACCAGCATTCGCCTTGTACTTCGTCTCCATTAACCCGCTCAACTGTCATGAATCTATTATGAGTAAATTGTCCAATTTTCCGCTCGGCTTTGAGATCGTCCAAGTAATATTTCTTCCCGCGATTACTCGAATATTCAGTTAACATAATTCTAATATATTACTTTATGTTATTATGGTCAGATAAATCGATCAGTGCGATTTAAGAGACAAAAATGAACGTCGATGTTTATCGAATTTATTAAAGCGATAATAAGGATAAATCAATAAATATTTTACCCGGCAGTTAAGTCTTACGATAATGAAAATAAATCAATAAATATTTTACGGGCAGTTAAAGTATTACTATATACATATATATATAAGCGTGGTCTCTAATAATATACATATTTAAAATATACGAGATATGAAAATTCATTACAGTTTTTACGTTTTTGAAGCAACAGTTGTTGCGAATTCAAATTCAGTAACACGCGCATATCGCCTGCATAATCCACGATGTGTAATTAAATACAAATATTGCCGCCCGAAATAGTTGATTCAGCTATATTTTCGTGTTAAATTTTTCGCGTGATAAGCGACAATCCGCACCACCCGTTTGCTTTTCCCACGAATAATCAACAAAATAATAAGTAAATATCAAACGCTATATTATTATTAATGTAGACAAAATAATTGAAAATTTATTTCTCCGTAGAAGTCTAAAAATATCTAAACGAACGAGGGAATATAATGATTTTCGATAACCTTTGACGCTTCGAAATTCAACGTTGCGTCACTCATCATCTGGAATCTTTTGATAGATTTGGTCTTGACATTGAACTTGATAAGGCCCTTGCCATGGTGATACCCCGTCTTAAATACGTCCCTCGCGTTTTTTCCAAGATCTGCGAAACTCGGCACTTCCATCACGAATTCAATATGTTGCGGACAAATTGTACTCGTGCTACAAAACCGTGGTAGAGAAAACCTTAATAAAATATGTTATTATGGATGTTATTATAACAAGTTTTCTCAACACAATTTAATCAATTCTAGTCTCTCAAGTATTTAAAACCAAATTACATATTTCAATTATGTATATGTATATATATATTTATTATATATATATATATATATATATATAATAAATTATATGTGTATATTAATTATATTAGCGTATTACATGTATATATAGAGCACATTTTATACACGGGGTGTAATTTAAATACCGACTACTAATATACTATATATAATAATTACATAGAGTTATTCCTTATAAAAAAATTGAGTCGAAAAGTCCTGAACTTTTTTTCTACATGCAATGATAAATAAAGCGATCGCTACTACACTAATTACTGCTTCATTGAGCATTATAGAGATAAATGATATAGAGATGAATGACAGGACTTTGCGACTCAATTTTTTATAAGGAGTAGCGCTATATGACCTGTGAGTGCTATTTAAGAACTACTTTTGTCTACAATGCTTAATGAAGTAATAATTATTGCGGTAATGATCGCTTTATTTAGCACTGTAAAAAAAATAATTTAGGATCTTTCGATTTAGTTTTTTACAAGAAATAAGTGTTATAATCTTGTAAAAAAAATAAATATACATATGTATACATAAAATTGTTTTGCTTTTAATTTAGCTTTCATAAATTTATTTAAATACGCACTTTGTATTATTAGAGATATATACTATGTTACAATGTTATACCATCTCTCCGTCTCTAAATGTATTCTTAATTCAATATTCTGTCTACACTGAGACGACTATATAATTCCAAACAATTTAGCTCTCACGTTTTATCTTCGTCACAACGTGCCTCCTTGTTTTGTTAGACAGCTTGGGGCTCAGCAAATTGAAGCTGAGACGTAATGCGAACGTACGCAAGGGTTCTTCGACATAACGAAAACATGGTCGACGTTAACCTCTCGTGAACGATACGGAAACGAGAAATGTATGGAGGGGGGGGGGGGATTCGAGGGGATTAATATTGCAGCACTTTTGTGCGGAGCGGCGGCGTGGTCGATATTTGTTTTCCATCCAAGCTTCACATTGCAACTGTCAAAGAAACGGAATGAACTTGATCGGGGATTGCAGAAGAGGGGTATACGTGAGGCAGAATTCAGACCGGTCGACGAATCGACGTTCAATTTAAATTTCGCGTGTTCGCGCAAGCGGACGCGGCTGCGAACAGCGGTAATGCGCGACGCGATTATGTCACCGTTATATGTGTGTCTCGCATCGATTAGCGCGAACGCGTTAGGATTCATTGCGACCCTAATACCGTACGCGAGAATACGCGCATCGCGTGTCTCTGCACCGCCTTTCCGCTCCGTTTCGCAATTACGAGAAATAGAGAGAGAGAGAGAGAGAGAGAGAGAGAGAGAGAGAGAGAGGACGAAGCGTATGCACGGGCAATGCACATTGCACACGTCGGCAGCTCGCGCACGCCCGGCCGCGCGCGCGGCGCGTATCTGTACGCCGCGGCCCGCTCGGTGAAATTTACAGAACTTTATACATCGATTTACGTCATGTAGCTCATAATTCAATCAACGTACGCGTCGGCAAATCGCATCGAGATATATCACGCGCAACGCAGGAATCTGCCGATTAATGATGACGTTTGACTGGATGATGGGATTATTCGTTCTCGGCGTATTAGAAATTGTCTCTCGTTTATACATGAGTTTATATATACACTTCATTGAACAAATCTAAACTTTGGTATGCAAATTTTAGATTCCAAACATTCAAGTTCCCCCGACTTTTAGTTTGTCGAATTATTGTTAAAATTTGCTGCCTCCGAGCTGTAGGCCGTCGTCGCCTTGGATTCTTACGCTTACAAACGGGGGAAAACGAGCAATTGTTCTTCTTGCAGCCGATGCTGGCCGAGACGAGACGCGGGGGTGGCGCGGCGGCGGGCGAGGAGGGCGAGATCGAGGACGGCGTCGAGTATTACAGGCTTCGGTCCTTCTCCATAACGGCGAACGGGGTGTACAACCTGGGCGACTCGCTGAAGACCCGCCGCAGCAGGAGCATCAACAGCGTCACCTCCTCCACCAGCTGCAGCAGCACCCGGGAGACCAGATTACTCAGGTGAGGATATAACAGAGGAGCCACGCTCGAAAGTACGCGGTAAATCTCCCGCGCTTGTATAACCGATGATATCCGCTCGCGTCCGGGAACGCGCCGACCGTCCAGCAAAGACCAAGTTACAATACATGTAACGTACTTGTTAGTTGTAATTTCCCACTCAACAATGTAACTATAATATAACACATATTATATATATGTTATATTATTGAGTATAGTTATATTGTTGAGTGGGAGTATATATAGTTAAATTAAACTAACAAAAGTAGGGGAGACCGGGGCTCGTTGGCGCAGTTTTCACAATTCAGACATTCCTGTTTCTAAACAACTATTTATTATGATTAAACTATATTAATATGGTAGAACGGACCTTTCTCTACATTTTCATACCAGGAACGATTCTGTATACTGTATAGTTTCTTTGTAGTAAGTGAAGTACGAACATGCTGCAATGTAGCTAATTTACCCCGATAGCCGGGTAAGTTGACACATATCACAACGTGTAAGTTGCTTAAGCGATTAAAATTCCATATTAAATTAATGAAAACATAACAGAAGTAAAAACAGATCGCAGATATGTATTTCTTATGAAAAAAGATATCGCATCTTTTAGAGTTATTTTGTAATGATCAAATAGCAAAATGCTGCTATAAAGTAATAAATGTAAACTATATTTTAGATGTAGTTTATTTCAATACAGAAATATTAAATAAAAAACGTTTTGTCATAATTAAGTTGTAATTGAAACATACACGCTTCTTATATAGTAAATTAAACTAAGCTAACCTTAAATATGAGTCAACATGCCCTATCCTTACAGACAAATAATTTAAATTATTTTATTATAGTAAATTATCGTTATTATTCAAAATAACACATTGTATAATAAAAATTTTTGTTTTAACTTCTAATAATACATCACTTAGATTTATTCTCTCCAGCTGAAGAACATTAGGACGAAATTTTGAAACACTCAAAAATTTACTTGCCTCCTCTTGAGAATCAGATTTTTCTCATTCTTTACTAAAATACTTGTTTGATTTAAATGCAACTTAGAAAAATGTGCCTATGCTATAAAAAAGATATTTTACTAATAACTTTTTCATTCTTCTTTTCCATTTCCTTAATCATAAATACATTAAAAACGGAACGCAAAATGCCAATTTGCCTCTTTGTGTCAATCGAGCCCCGGTCTCCTCTACGTTACATGTAACTATGGTTGCTAACTATTTGCTGGGCGGATTGCGACCTCGCGGGAGAGAGAAAGAGAGAGAGAGATTCTGATCCCTCTGGAATTATATATCCTGCGAAAATACCATCCCGGAATACTCGACGAATAAACGCTGCGTATATACAGCTCGGGAACTTCGTCGGGGAACGCCGGGTAAAACGATCAACGACTCGTTTCGTTACGCAGCCTGTCCATTATTGCGAAATTGCAACGCGCGCGGAGTCGCGCGTATCCGCGAGTACGTATCTACGTATATGTATAACGTATGTATACTCGTACATCGCGCGATAACGACTTCGCGATCCTCACGGCGCGTTCGCGGCATTCTGGGCCGCGGCGGCTATTAATGGCGGGGAGAGTCGCCGGATTAAACGAAGATAATTACATTCTCTCTTTCGCGCTTTTGCTATATCGCGAGTAATAATAACGAGGGCTATAAAGGTATGCGCGCACGACTAAAGCTCAATGGCTGAACATTATAATTGGACGCTTTCGTCTCTATGACGCGCGTATAAATATAACGCGTAAAAGTGTATAATGCATGCGACCGCGAAGGTTGAGAGAGAATGAGAGGAGTGGCGGAGGGGAGGAGGGGAGGAGGAAGAGAGAGAGAGAGAGAGAGAGACATCCTGGAAAATAATCTTTCCACGTGGACGTGATGCTTCCCCCGCACTTTTCACTCCGGGCTCACCACGGGCTGTTTATTTTCTCCTTCGAGGGCTCCGTCGTCGCAAGCCGGCGCGCGCGCGTTGTCGGTTTAGAAAACAAAGAAAAATACGTCAAATGTTTTCCCTCGCATGACTTTACTTTTACGTAAAACATGCGGGTCTCCCCCGTGGGATGGACCGTGTGATACGGCTCTCGACTTGTTTGTATCCATCGAGACGCAATATGCAAATCAGAGAGAAACAGAGATTTCTTTTCTTTTTTTTTTTCGTGACGTGTTAAGGGGTCTTCATGTAAATAAAAGTGGCGAATGCATCGTTACGCGATAATTATTTCATAATTACAAATATAATAATTATTTAATTATTGTAATTATTATATTGCGTCTGTTTCAAGTATTAACGTGTGTATAATTGTTGTAATAATAATTAGAAATGCAGAAAAGTTTGTTTAAAGAAAAACTTTAAAATCTTCTTTAAGACAATTTCAAATTGTCTTATAATTTCTTAAATCGAATGATATTACATTTTCTTTAACACAGTATTTACAAGATATCTTACGTGATCATATTAAATTTGCATATATTTCAGACTAAAGTAACTTATATGTCTGTTGAGTTGTTTATAGGTATCTCTGATAATTACTGAAACAGTTTTGTGTCAACATAATAAACAAACAAACATAACAATTAACGTCACTGTAATATTAATTTAATTAATTCATACATGTTATATACGTGTTTATACAATACGTATAGCGCTTGTTACTCGCATTCACGAGAGAATGGGGACAAATCAAGCGGAATGCGGATTACGTAAATCAGAAATCTATCCGCGGAAGTTATTTTCCCTCGAAACGGAAGGCTGTTATTCGCCCAATCTAAATTTATCCCGCCGGCAGCTTCCATCTGGGATAATCGTCTCACGGTGGTTCTCCGCGCTCATCCCACCGGATGATGATTGTTTACGCCCGTCTGCGCCGCCGTAACTCGCATGCAGATGATGCACTCGATATGCGTCGTCTCCCGCCTGATTTCCGTCCTCGTCCGCGGTTTAAAGTCAGTGAAAGACATATACTCGATTGGCTCCGCCAGTCGTACGAGCGAAGCCATGCGGAGCTCCGGCTGCATCGCGACTGCACGAGCGCTTAAAGGCACCTTAATTGCCCTCGCTTCCCCTCCGCCCCGGATAATTACGCGGCGCGTATAGACTGTATCCCGGGCTGAGTGGAGAACCAGCCGTAAAGAGAGAGAACCCCGTCCCTTCGGTCCCGTTAAAAGAGATTAAAGGCGCGTCCTACACACACCCGCGCGCGCGCGTTCCGGAGGGCCGATTTAGAATTTAGAGAGCCTCTCTCCCTTCCTCTCTCACCCCGTTCTCTCCCCGGCGTCGCATTTACCGACACGACGATTTTCAACATCGTCAAATCCTCCGAGAGGATCCGTTCCCGGACTGACGAAAGGCGCGACGATGACGAGTAATCCCGGAAAGTGCTTCCCCGAGCGAGGGTGAGAGCCCCTCGGAAAGAGTTGAGAGGCGGACGGGCGGGATGTCGCAACACACACGCATGTACCGGCAACACGGCGTAATTTAAATTAAGTTGTCCTCTATATGGTTTTCTCTGAAAAGCAAAGCCCCTGAAGAGATAGAGAGAGAGAGAGAGAGAGATTTCGTAAGCGTTATTATACATCTGAATGCATTGCATTACCGCGCGCGTCTCGCAGCTTTTGTCCTTTGCCGCTAAGAGTTATAGATTCACGTTTCGCAAGTGCCATTCCTTTCTACGCGTTTCTCGCTCTCTTTCCGCTTTCTGTTTTCAAGGCAAACATGTACTGCATATTATTTGTTTAATTTCTGCAAACGAAGAAAAATACGTCGGAAGCTTTTTTCTTCGTACGATTTTATTTTACACAAAAACGTATGTAGATTCCCGTAGAACGGACCGGTCTTCGTTTTTTTTTCTTCATATCGGTTATTTTCTCGAGAAGTAATAAATATGCAATTCGAAATGGAAAAAACAAGATTTTTTTTTCGTAAATACAGCTCGATCTTGTAATAACAATATAAATAAAAACGGGCCAAAGACGAGCATCTTGTCGTTCTTATATATAAAAAATAAGTTCTAGTTAAATATCTTTAACAATTTATTCAATAATAGATGTTACATGTTTCAATGCATCCCAACCGTATAGGACTTTTGCTCGACACGTTCACACGTAAACAGCTTAACGTCATGCTATAATAATCATAAAAAACTATTGTTTGGACAGGAAGATTATTTAACATTTTCGGTATGAATTTTTAATTCGAAGACATGAATCTTCATTTGACTACTTGTTTTATTTATACATTGTAATTGACATAATTATATTTACACACGAGTTTTTTTAGTTGCGTTACGTTAAGTTTAAGCGATTGAAAAAGACCTAGTAAAGTTGAAACTGGTATCGCGAAATTGCTATATTAAGTTAATAAAGAATTAAACATTTAATAAATTTACATTCATTTTTGGCCTGTTATTTATGTTAGATAAAAGATGTTATATGTAAATAAAAGTAGCATATTAATATTGTTATATACTATAATATAACATAGTTATATACGATATAAAAAGATATATAGAAAAACACTTTTAAAACGCAAAGTACAATTATGTGCAATTATATTATACAGAATATAATATTATAAATGGAAAGAAACGTATATTATATGCGCAAAGTATAATTATGTGCAATTATATTATACAAGATGGTTCAGACCACCCACATAACTCACTTAAAAACGAGGGAAGTGGTTTTTATTAAAAAATCCCCAAAATTTTGATAATTAAATCGGATATATTCTTTTGAATGATAATATTTTCAACTTCCGGTTCCGAACGAAAATGGGCTATTCAGGCCGGAAGTTGATTTTTAAAATAAAAAATAGTATTTTGTAGTTGACATTTTTCGAAAAAGTGCTTGGTACAAAAATTTTGTTTTTTTTGCGTAGAACCTGAATCTGCAATAAAGAAATTCCACTTAAAAAAATCGACTTCCGCTCTTAATAACTCATTTCTATTTCGAACCGGAAGTTGAAAATAACAATGATAGAGCGTATCCGATCGACTTATCAAAATTTTTGGGATTTTTGATAAAAATCACTTCCCTCGTTTTTAAATGGGTGACGTGGTCTGAGACATTCTGTATAGAATGTAATTATATAAACAGAAAAAAGAAACACAACGAAATAGGCATTTTAATGTCACTTATAGCGATGAAAGATTATTCCTGGATTTCTAAATATAGAGCAGAATTGATATTTGTGGAGAAGCTTACTTTAATCTTGGTAAAAATGACACGTAATCATGCTAGCGTATTTTCCGCGAGGTGTAAATTACCTTTATGTACAACATTTCCGTGAAAAATAAGGCCTTTGATATTTGTTCATATATATAATATCACCGCGATAAGCTTGATGAAGATCACGTCGAGCTTAATGCAGCTTTTTTTTTAAATACACCGCGAAATTCGATGAAAATTGTCGACATGTTGCTTTAACGAAAGAGAGCACCGTTTTAATCGCGCGTATTTGCCATAATGGTGACGAGTGCCGTGGTGGCCGTAATTGCAAACGATCAGGATGAAAACGCCGGACAGAATTTGTCCGTCGACAGAAGCGCGAATTCTCGCGCAATTCATTCGAATGTAATACATATCTCGATTCTCGTCAGATTTACGCTTCTCCCGTTTTTTTCCCCTCTCCTCCTCAGCTCGGCCTCGCAGCTCTCCGGCATCGAGGCGGAGGAGGACGCCGGCAGCGAGCGGGTGGCGACGTACAAAGTGGGCATGCTGGGGGCGTCGGAAGTCGGGAAAACCGCCCTAACTGCACAATTTACCACGAGCGACTACATTTGCGCTTACGACGCCTCTCTCGGTAAGCATACAATAGCACACTTTTTGCTTTTGCGCAAATTCCGATCTAATTCGGCGGGAGGAATTAATTCGATTCCGACGTTTAACCGGCCGCAACGTTATCGGGACAGTCGGAGACCACGTACCGTGTCGCGTCGCGTCGTGAGACGCCACTCTCGCGCGACTAAGACCCACGGATGTCAAGAAAAAAACGGCAATTATATTCCCATCGCGATGGGACAGATGGGTCGCTCTCGAATCGCGCGGCCTTGCTCGGCGGGCTCCCGGCTCCCGAAGGGTGGCTTCCACCTCTGGCAGGAAATTAACGTCGTTTCCGTTTCTGCCCTCTGAAAGAGGCGTCCTCCCGGGCGTTCTTCGCCCGCTTGCCCGGAGGAATGGACGTCGCGTCTGCGAAGCGCGGCGCGAGATGCAGCGAATCGTCCTCCGGACGGTTATTTCGCTATTTAATTATGTACTTGTCGCGAGCTGCACGCCGGATTGTTCGCGATATCGCGCGCCGCACTTCCATTAAACAGAATTAATTAATCCGTTGGGGTAAAACACTATAGCGGTGTATACATATATTTGCTCGAAACGCATTTCCCTTAAAGCGCTTTGATTGTATCAATTAATTGTTCGATTAATGCCCGCGAAATAAATTATTCCGCACGAGGAGCGCGTATTGTAGTGGTACAAGTTACATATAGTAGCGTAAAGTTTCTGCGTTTATCTTGGAAAATTCCGGATATTTTCGCTCAGAAATGCTAGGTACGTTTTCATATTTCACGAATGGATCATTGCAATCGTTTGAATATTTTAACGTTCCATTTCGTAAACATTCAAATTTTTAAGTGAGAAAGAAGTATAATTTGCGTTCGCAATTACTTTTTATATGACTTTTGTTATATTTGTACATTATAGTATATAAACATTATAATATAATAATTTAATATTTAATCATTTAGTAATAATAATAATAATAATATAACATTATGAGATAATAATTTCTAAATTGTAATTAAAATTTGATTGCTGCGTAAACATTGTAAGTTATTTTTGTATGTCCATACTACGATTTAAAGTGCGTATAAATAAAATATTTAAAATTGTTTACGTGATAAAATATGCAATATACATACAATTATCAATTTTAATGAGTGTCGTCGTAGGATTTACAAGAAAGTGCTGCGGAGAGGAAAATGTTTTCTGCGTAATAATTTGTAGCGTAACATTTTCTCCTTGTCACGATACGCGCGCAGCGTTAATTATTTTTCGCGAATGGTGCCGGAGGAAGTTAGTTTCGTATGCAAGTCGCATCTCACGTCTCATTAACTTCTTCGCGCTGTTTTTTACCCGCATCTCGAATTCTTACATTTTCTCACGTTTCCGCGTAACGACTGGTAAGGGAACTCTTTCCGCGAAAAAAAAAGCGGTTTTTCCGTTCGCCGCGGTCAAAATCAACGCGCGTTCGCCGCGGCGATTCAATGCACGCGAGAGCAAGATCCAAAATCGCGTTCGGGAAACGTCCGCCCGAGAGCGCGAGCGACTCTCTCTCTCTCTCTCTCTCTCTCTCTCTCTCTCTCTCTCTCTCTCATTAACGCGTATACACGCAAACAACAATATAGTAATAACCTGTAATTTAGCAGTCCGGTCGGGCCAATTAATTCGCACGAGCCGTTCATTCGGAAGCAATTTTCGTCTGTAATGAATTGTCCGTGACGCATTGACGCTTTTGTCTCCTCCCTTCGCTCTCCCCGTGAACTCGACGACCTCCGCGCGCGCGAGGAGCGCTCGCTCGCCCTTTTCAAATAAAGCTGCGAACTGTCTGCAATTAAAACGCTCGCGCTCATCTTGCGTTGCTAACAATAAGACGTGTACTCGGCCAGAGGCGATAAGCCGCTCTTATCCCGGCCGCTCGAACGGTGAGGAGAGGAGAGGAGAGGAGAGGAGAGGAGAGGAGAGGAGAGGAGAGGAGAGGAGAGGGAGGGGGAGGGGGGGGAACGAGAGAATACGGAACGGAGAATAAACTCCCGTTATACTTCGTCTTAGCGCAAACCACCACAGAGTATATTTTGCATCGATCAAATCCTTCCGATAATCCAACATCGGTATATATCGTTTGGTTGGTCAGAGTTCCCCACATCTCGTCCTATACAGCAGACACTTGAGCGGAAACGACGATAAGACAACACGCCGGTATACCGCTGTTGACCCAAAAAGAAAGAAACGTCGCTTTGGTCTCTCGCTCTCTCGTCTCCGTCTCCCCGTCCCCCCTCCCCCCCCCCGCGACCCCCTTGTCCCTCCGCCGGATAATATCGCATGCACGTATTATTATACGTATGTATGTGCGATACGATATTTTCCGCGCCCGGTGTTTCCCGCGGCCCCGTCGAGGTCATTCTCTCTTGGCCGATTTTATTGGAACCGCACACGGTAGCGAACTAGCCGCTCGAGAGTACCGGTACTCATCGCGAGTACCTTCGCGTGCGCTCTCAAAGTAGTTCCCCCCCCCCCCCGCCGTTATATCGATTTTGCGCCAAGTACCTTGCCAAGAGAGAAAGATAGAGAGAGAGAGAGAGAGAGAGAGAAGGAGAGAAGAAGGAAGAAAGAGAGAGAGAGAGTATTATCGATATTTCCGTATACGAAAGAGGCAATATATTCCTCTCTCCTCGACGTGGCACGGCGTGGCGGCGGTCCGCTTTGACGACGCGAGGGAGTTCAACCTAGAGCGTAACACGGCCCCTCGGAAAAGAACCGGTCAACGGCAGCTCCGCGAAACTTTCCCGCCGCCGTCATTCGTGTGTAATTAGATTTGTTCCCTCGGATAAATACATCTGCGCGTATATATACTTTTAATGAAGGACCCTGAGCGGTGTCTCGCTTGACTCGCTTCCGGCGAGACGAAAGAGGAAGGGCGGGAACGTGGCCTAGAGGTGTGCGAATCAAGCATTTGCATGGTCGAATTGAGTCGAATCAAATTTTTGATAACATGTTCAAAATCGAATCGAATCGAATCGAATCTGAATCAAATTTTCCCAGATTTGCATTACATTCGTTAATTTAAACGATAATAAATATCAAAATTTATGAATTACATTAATTTATGGAATAATTTAAACAAACTGAAGACCTGTTTTCGATTTACATTTCATTACAAAGGATCATGATCTTATACGACATCTTTGAACTAGAAAATATGCAATTAACAATATGTGTATACACGAATAGTTTGAATGCTTTCGAATATTTTCTATTATTTAATCTACATGGATACATTACATGCATCAAAAATATTTTTATTAGATAAGAATAATGGATCACGTGGGAGATATAAATGAAGCAAATAAAATAGGCGATCGATTCGAAATTTTCGAACTATTTGATTTCGAATCTTACAGATTCGAAAACGAACTTGAATCGAATCTACTGTGTGATTCGACTCCCGATTCGAATTCGAACTATTCGCACATCCCTCTAGAACGTGCGTTATCCTTTTCGATCCAAACCGCGCGCTGCCTTCCTTCGGAGCGAGGCATTAATCATTAGTTGTTGCTTTTAATTACGCGCCTTTACATACGGGAAATAACCGCGATAACGCGTGTGAGCCTGATTAATTATAGTCGGACGTCGATCGTTATTGCGAATGTGGGATGTATATATGTATGCTGATGCGTTTCTTTTATTATCTCTTTTCAGACGAGGAGTACGGACAGAAGAACGTATCCGTGATGCTCGACGGCCAGGAGACGGAATTAGAAATCATTGATCATCCCGCCGCGGAGATGTCAGTGAGTAAATACGCGATGTTTTTTATTACGTGCACGGCAAAAATAGCGGCGACGCGCCGGTGTTGGTACGCCGAAGTGCGCGGTGCTTCGAGAGAGGTCAATTACCCGACAAATTGCGTTAAATCGAGTAACTGTCGGATACCGGAAGGAACTTATTCGCCGCTCTTTCTCTCTCTCTTTCTCTCTCGTAAATAGAGTTATAACAATGACGTCACCTTTATCGAGTTTCCTTTATTATTGCCTGTATTAGACGCCGGCGTAAATCCCCGGGATACATCCCAATATAAATCGTCGTATATAATACATGATGACGCGCGTAGATGAGGGAAGGACTTGAGAAACGTATGTGTAGGTGCTCTTTTTTAGCCGGGAAAAGAAGACCAAAACAAATCCGACGGGAGGGGTCAATATATAACGCGGAAGAGGGTCAAATGAATTATTTCTTCGAATTTATCATGATAGATCGAAAGGCCTTTTTCAGGGTGTCCAGCGATTCTTGAATGTCCTGGAATTGTTATAGAATTTAATGTATTCTGGAAGATTCTTGGAAAACTCCTGGAATTTTTGGGATCGATCTTGAATTATTGTCATTCTTTTATTCTAAAAAAATGGATCGTAAAAAAAGAAAGAAAGAAATATTTCTTGCGCGTGTGCAAGAACTACAAGATTGACAACGTCGTTTTTAGGAACAGTTTATGGTTGCATATAGGGTAAACCCGGTATATACGCCGCGCGAGGATTTACGCCGAAGAAGTCAGAAAAAATAGAAGGAAACTAATTTTCTCGCAACCACTCTGTTATATGCCTTTATGTTGTATTAGTATTGTGTTGTGATTTCAGTTTTTTACTGTTAATATTTATAACATTATTGTAAGTTAAATTCATTTATCACTGTAATAAGTAGCTTAATCATAAGTTATAATCTACATAAAATGATTATTGTAGGAAATGTAAAAGACTTCGTGGTTATTTCGTGGTATATAAGTGTAGAGGATATGATATAGCAAAATACAAGCTCAGCTCTTGTATTCTTTGTTTAGTTTATTGTCTCGTATATCCCATCTGTTTGTGATATACGGCATTTTTAGCGCGTGGGATTTATGCCGTAGCACAGACGCTCTATTATTTATTTATAAATATAAATATAAAAGTAAATAATAATACGTGATAATACGTCCTTTACAATACATTAACCATAACATTCATGTATGTATATACTTATGTATGTACTTATTCATAATCTGTAGTAATACATTCTTTATTTATTTATTAATGAGTAAATGCAAATTACGTTGTCAATTCACGTGTTAATCACTATTATTATTTAGATTATTTGTATATTTTTCGAGTCATTTATCCCACTCATGAGCTGTATAACCCAATCCTATTTTTATAAGGCAAAAATGCAAGGGTTTAAAGAAATTTATTTTTTAATATAAAAAATAAATAATTTGGATTTCTAATATTTTTTTATAATAATAAACAATATAAAGTTTTTACTGGCATAGTTTATTTAACTTAAACTTAATAGATAATATCTAATAAATAAAGATTTTAATAGGTGTGGTATATATACCGGGTTTACCCTAAGTTCTCCCTTAAAAATGCAATGAGGCAAGCAATTTGTAAAGCAATAAATAATATTGTTCTAAAGTTGTTTGCATTTTAATTGATTCGTCATGTAAAATTCTAATTTGAATAAAAAACATATATAGTATTGCACAAATTGATAAAAATTAATTAAGTAATGAAAATTAATCAACCTGAAAAACCCAGGATTTTTACCTGGAATGTCTTGGAATTATTCTTGAATTGGCTATCCAGATCTATCGCTGAACACCGTGTTTTTTTACACAGATGTTTGATATGATACATATACATATCTGTATACATATAAATAAAAACACAAGACACATCTTGCGGTGAATTGTAATAGAACCCCGAAAGAAGAGTTTACGAGTACAAAATAAAACACGTAAACACGCGAGCAATTGGAAAATAAATATAACACCCCATCAAATGTGTACAATATTCTCTCTTCTATTTCCATCGCAATATTGCGGTTGCATTACACGAACGATAAAACTTATTGTTCGGCGGGAAAATAAAAGCCGAAACCGCCGCGCTGGTCCGTTAATCGATGTTTTTTTCCCCGCAAGCTTTCCCCCATTTTTTCTCCCCACCTTTTATCTTTTCGAGGTCGAGACCTTTTGTTCGACTTACAATCCGGACGTGTATGTGGTGGTGTACTCGGTGGTGGACAGAAGAAGCTTAAAGGTGGCGGAAGAGACGTTGCTCTATTTGTGGAAGAGCGATTACATGGCGACTCACGGTGTCATCCTGGTCGGTAATAAAGTGGACCTCGAGAGGAAGCGGGAGGTCCCGTCGGTGGGTGAGTATACACAGATTTCGCGTGAATCTCTCCAGTATAGTCAAGAATCGCGAACGATTTTCACGAAGTCGTCGAGAAAGATATAAATCGAATCACAAAGTTCTTGAAATTCAATAAAAAAATCCTAAATGACAATATAGTATATTTAAACTTGTAAATTTTTATATAACTAATTTATATAATATAAGTTTATATAATGTAATTTATATAATATAAGTTATAAGTTTAATTATATATTATATAAATTATATAATATTATATTATATAAATATCTAGTATTATATAAATATCTAGTATTATATAAATATCTAGTATTATATAAATATAGTATTATATAAATATTATATTATATAAATAAGTTTAATTATATATTATATAATATAAATATAAATATAATACATTGCAGTTCCTCATAAAAGCAACGTTTAACAAAACGGTGATTGAAGTTATAAAATAAAACATATACTGTTTTTAACAGGAAAAAGATACAGTCCGAAAAAACCTCGTTACAGATCATTTATATATCATAATATTCACATATCAGATTTTAAAGTAGAATTTAGTTTTTATATTCCGCATGTATTTTTTAACGTATATGAGCATTTTAATGCATATTTTATATATTTTGTGTATTATAGCTCTTCAAATGTTTTTCGCATTACACGCGGTATATGCAAGTTGCGAGTAGAATTTTATCGAGAAAATGCTGATACGCGAATTGCAATTCGTCTGAAGTGGATTTAATACGCGAAAAACGTTTCGAGGAATCAAAATGCACATGAAATGTATTTTACATGCAAAGTCGCATTGCATATGTCAAAGCATATGTAACATTATATATAGAACGGAATTCCCGTCTCTCTCTTGAAATTCGAAATCGGCTAAAGCAGAGTTTTAATTGACTTGTGCGACATCCGAGTCCATCCGTTGAACTGCCGACAGTTGGCCGCCGTTTGGCGAACAGTTGCGGTTGCAAGTTCATCGAGACTTCGTCGGGTCTGGCCCACCACGTGGACGAGCTCCTGGTCGGCATTCTGGCGCAGATCAAGCTGAATCCGCAGCGCAGCCGGGACCAGGCGACCAGGCGCCGTCGCAGCAAACACCGCAGGCGCATTCTGAAGCACCTGCTCGGCTTCAAGAGGAAGACCAAGAGTTGCGAGAACCTCTTCGTTCTCTAACGACGCGGCGGCGTCCCGCGGTGTACGGCGGAGAAGGAAAAGTGATTTCATCAGCGATATCGATCGCGCTCGTCGAGCATGTCGCACTTCGGTCCGCGCGAATACGTGCGCTATCTTCGCGGGAGACAGGTGCAGGAGGATCGTGCGACGTGGGCGAGAAAACGTATCTGATGTATGCCATACAATACGTATACGTGTAGAGGCGGCCGTGCGGCGAACGCGGTAACGCGCGAGGAATATCGAGCGGATTCTCCGGAATGTCTGGCGTAAATTGAAATACAAAGAAATTCACGCCTGTAATGCGTACCGTCGGTGGCGAGTATAGCGCGCGCGCGTGCGAAGGAAACTAGACCTCAGGGCTTTTGTATTCGCGCGCAAGAAAATAAAAGACCGCGCTGCGCGTTATCCCTTCAACGTGAAAAACGAGAAACTTTCTCGTCGACCGTGCGACACAGCTTCGCTGCCCCCGTATGCGAATAATTTGAGCGAGGAGAAACGGATTAATCCTCTCCCAATGTATGTTCCAGTTAAAAAAAAAAATCTCTCTACATATTTCGAGTCTTCGAGGACTCATTTTAAAAAGAATATTATTTAAATTTTAATAAAAAAATGTTGTAGCAAATGCCATTTATAAATATAAAATGTAAAAAATTATTTTCGTAGGAAGATCCGAAAGATTTCCGGATTAAACTGTGAAAGGTTTGACACGCGCGGCGCACAGTTATCTTCGCTCGATTCTGAGAATGTAAATTTATTCAGATACGATTTTGTGAATATAAATTTCTGATGATGTTTATATTATATGTATATAAATAAGGTATAAATGAGACTCTCGAATCTCATGTATCTCAATGATAAAGCAATGTGACGTTGTTTAATACTTGCAGATTAGTTTGAAAATTTTGGGGCTTTATTATACTTAATTCTTGTCAATATGGTATATTTGCTTTACGAATTAAATTTATATTTTACGATTCTGAAAATGTTACGACACGAACTTTTAGAATAAAAATATTTTTATTTAAAGCCTACGATTTCTCAATTGTGGATTAAAAATACTTTATTTTTTACATTCGCCATATTAGATCCGTTATTTCGAATTTTTGTGTTTAATTCCATTTTTTTTAAATATATTCGGCGAAACCTTCAAAAATAATTAAATCAGATATGTTCCTCTTTTCATAAAAAGAAGAATTAAACGTGAAAGGATTAAGTAAGGGGCTTATTCAGGCTGAGCGTATGGTGAGAAATATGTAATTTTGAGTGAATTTTTTTCCTTTTCAAGGACGGAATAAAAACTACATTTTGACATTAAAAAATGTATTTATTTATATAATTTAATATCTGCAAAGCTATATAAAGTAAGAATAAATCCTTGATTTTTTTCTATCTTCCGCATAAAATGTTTATTGTGAAAATCTATATTTTTTAAAATTTTTATTTATTGTATACAGCGTAACTTTCAAAGAGTTGATATGAAGTAAAATCTAATATTTTTTAAAATATGTGATATTTTTTGAAATTTAAAGTAAAAGAAGAACTTAACATTTTGACTTTTCAGATATTATTATCTTTCGAAAGGAAACGTTATAGTTTCAAAAAATTGGAGGGATGTCATAGTTTCATTAAAAAGTCAAAACGTTGAAACCTGTCTTTATCAAGTTTCAACAGATAGTACGTACCTAAAAAAAAAAGCTATTTGGGTTTTGTCTTTCAGATCGAATCTCTGGAAGTTACGCAGACACAGTACAGAGATGCAGAGTTTTACAGTAGTAAACATTTTCTGTGGAAGGTAAGAAATTGAGAATTCTCTTCTCAATTTCTCACCTTCAATTTTTCATCTACTTTTAGATATGAGGTTGTATCAATAAATACATTTTAACGTTGAAATTTTGTATTTTTCATTCCATCTGTCATCAAGATGTATTTTCTCATCGAGCAGTTAAATAAGTCTTTTAAATACGAAACGCCCACGCGCGCGTGCACACGTGTGTGTGTGTGTGTGTGTGTGTGTGTGATAAAAATTACATTTGCGAATATTCTGCCACCCGATACGGGACCGGTCTGTCGTAATCTCGCGCGAACGGACGAGCGATTTAATTTATGATAATGCGACTTCGAGGCGTGAAATTAGTTGTGGCGTTTCAGGAAGAAAATTCCGCGAGGATCCTCCTAATGTCGTTGCGCCGTATTTGTGCTATACGTACGGTATGCTGACGGTCTACTTTTGAGAGGTGTACTGCATAAGATTGTCACTTCTCCGAATTAATAAATAAGCCAACAGTGTAGCCAATAATGTAGATTAATGTTTGTAAAGGCAGTAGTACTGATAATAAATAATTACGTAATAATACCAGATGTGGTAACAGGAAAGCCAATCGCTTTGCTACCTCGAGCGCCGGAGATTAATTGTGGAAAAAAAAACACCAATTTGTACAGATATATTTTAACTGTCTCTCGCGGTGAAAATTCGCGATAATAGCTCGAAGATACGAAATCCGCAGCAGATGAAACTTTTTACTTGCGGATAAAAAGAATGGAGATTTACAATGGGAATTCGTAATAGCGATCTTCTGAACAAAAAGAAATTGCTTCGCCGAAATCTGCGACGCGTGAATTAATTGCTTCGACTCTGCGAATATAATTGTCTGCAAGCTTAAAGGAGAACGTGTATCGATCCTCGTTAAAACGTTTAATCAGTAAGGACACGTTCGCTATAATGTCGGAATCCTCAAGCGATGCAGGAATATGGATGGTATTTCCGTCGCGTGGGTGGGATCAACAAACACACAACCGACCAAAGCAAAGTAAACTTGTCAAAGTAGCTTCGGGTGTCAATATACCTTTAATGATTTAAGCTGATGGTGGAACTCGTGCGTGTGAAGTACGAATGCGATCCTGTCTGTATCACGCTACAAAGTGTCTATTCATCATCGATATATTGCGATAAGAGAAGGGCAGCGGACGTTTTTATTTGAAACATATCATGCAACCCTGCGAGATAGATGGACAAAAATAGATAGATAGATAGATAGAAGAGAGAGAGAGAGAGAGAGAGAGAGAGGGGGGGGGAGAAAGACAGATGCGACCGTCGGTATATTCTATGTATGTCGAAATGGACTAGCGTTGTAGGGCTGCATGTATTGCTCGTTTTTCCGAAGAGAGAAAAAGATATACGATATTTTGATTAGACTCCGTCGGCCGTACATACGGACTTTTCGTTAGAAATCGAATAAAATGTAAATGTTTTATATGGATTTGTAATAAATTTCTTTCCTTTATTTCTGTCATGAATGGGCGTTTTCTCTTTGATCTTATCGTGTTGCTTATCCCAACATGACACAAATAGCGCCATAAGCTAAAATAAATACACGATGCATTAACACACTGATTGCCACTTTCACGAATGACGTACAATTTCATAAAATATTCATGCAATTTCCAGGAAGTCGAATATATTATTTTCTTTCGTAATTTACTTCTTTTCTACGTTAACAAATATTACAGACTCTACTAATATTTTAATCTGAAATAATGTTTTACAGCAAAAGAAAATAAATTACGATAGAGAAAACACGTGTTTAGCTCTCTAGATTTTTCATGAAATTGAATGCCACTCGTACACAAGAGACGTGGCAATGAATGTGTTAATTCTGTACGTTTTTTCCCTTTTTTAAGCTTCTTGATCCTTTTAGTCATTCAAACAACACGGTAGTGGACTACAAGGGTGGTAAGGATTACACTACGGTGGCGGTAACCTTGCCGGAAGGCAAGGGGGTGGCAAAAGCCGGGGGCAACAAGGTCCAGGTATTATTGGACAACATCGAGGTGGCGGAACGCAAGGCGGCCTCCGGGATAGAATTTTGCAAGGCATTTCTTCAATTCTCGGGGGCAAAATTATTCTGCACGACGGCGGCGGTGGAACGCTTGGACTTTTGCTGTAAACGTTACAATTCTTTGAAACTATACAACGATTAATCGTCAAGAACTAACAATTAATTCTTTTCTATCAAACATACGATAATTTTGATTGTTAAGATCCATTGGGATTTTCTAAATTAAACGTTACAATTCTTCGAAACTACAACGGCTAATCGCCAAGAACTAACAATTAATTCTTTTCTATCAAACATACGATAATTTTGATCGTTAAGATCCATTGGGATTTTCTAAATTAAATGTTACAATTCTTCGAAACTATAACGGCTAATCGCCTAGAATTAACAATTATTTCTTTTCTATCAAACATACGATAATTTTGATTGTTAAGATCCATTGGGATTTTTTAAATTAAATGTTACAATTCTTTGAAACTACAACGGCTAATCGCCAAGAACTAACAATTAATTCTTTTACCAAACATACGATAATTTTGATCGTTAAGATCCATTGAGATTTTCTAAATTAAATTGTACATACTAATTGTCAATGGCACATATCAGATATTTTAGCTCCTCCATGTCGTTCCAGCACGACTTCGACTTCTTTTTGCGGGATATATCCTTTATTTTTATCGACATTTTATTTTAATTTTGTTTTACTTTTATATATTATTTTCTTTTTATGCCATTTAAATTTAATTGTAATTGTATTTCACTTTAAATTACGCTTTTAATTTCGGGCTAAATATTTGTGACAGGTAATTTTTTGTTAATATGAAATTGCAGTTTAATAAAAAAAAATGATATACTCACGTAATACACTAGACTGCTAAGCTTGCATATATTCAGCTTATGCAAATGGTTACAAAATCTATACATACAAGAGAAGGTTCAGGTTCAGACATTCAGTTTGACGCATGATGCAAGTTGCACCATGAGTTTGACGTTTTGATGCAGAGAATGTTTGCATTGAAAGTGTCTAATCGGAACAGAATGGAAAGATTAAACGATTTCTCTTTTACTTACGGTAAAATAGACACTATCTTTTTTAAACAAATTAAAGTTAAAATCATAAAATAAGCGTGTTACATTTACGGGGCATACTAAAATTATGGATATAAAAGTTTAACTAAAACTGTTTTAAAATGTTTACAATTGGCATATAAACAATGAAAATAATTTTTTTAATGGCACAAGTATTTAATACAGAGGAAAATAATTCTCTTAATGAAGCGTTTGTCGGTCGTCCAATCTGTGATACACAAGTCACGACAAAGGAGATTGAATTTAAAAGTCAGGAGTTACGATCGCAATCACTTTGCAGCGCGGTATAAGTCATCTTTATCACATTAGTGCTGCATTGTTCATCCGCGACCAAACAAGTAATTTTGACAAATATTCAGGTATTAAGGACAAAGGAACACGAGTGCATAAAGATATTACGCCAGCGGAAACTCGTTTTTCGATGCAGCGGACAAAGTGTTAAGTCTAATGCATGCGACGTTGAGAGAAGCAAAATACATTACAACCATAGTGATGGATCTCAATGTTACTCTACTCGCGCTTTAAGTCACTTGTTTAGCAGGTACTTTTTAAAATATAACGGTGTACGTACAATTAATTTTTGCAAATTGAACAAATGAAGCTAATTTTATCGGGGACGCTGTTAGGCGGAAGAACACGAGTATTTGTTGCTGCATGCTTTTAATCTGAAAGCTTTTACATAACGCCGGATAAAAAAATTAAAAAGAAGCGGCGAGACTTAATATATTTTTGTACTACATTATTATTACGACATTATTATTTATTGACAAATCTGTTACAGCTTTGAATTGTGACTTTTAATTTACTTCATCGACTCGTTTTAAATTCTTGACTCAGTTTCTGACATAATATATCATATTTATTTAAAATGTTATCGACATTACATTCAGCTTATCATATCTTTGTTATATCTTTGATTTGCGTCTTTTAATTTACTTCACCGACTCATTTTAAATTCTTGACTCCGTTTTAACTTATTATATTTATTTAAGATGTTATCGAACATCATACTCAACTCATGCGAACAATTATATGTCAATCTTAATTCCAAAGTTTTTTAAAAAAATGTAAATAATTTAACGTCAGTTTTAGTAATATATATTATATAATGTATTAATCTTAAAAACAACTGAAGAGAACCAAGTTAGGTCGAAACGTCTCGTTATTGAATTATTGTAAATGTGAATATAGGAATTTATAGCAATAACATCTAAAACCTTGCTCGTTTATTGGCCATAAATCAATTTACTAGTTCTTGATAAATATATACGAGCGATATTTTTATTAATCTCATTATTTATGCTGAGTGTATAGTAATGCTGGATATTCGATTAAATGGAAGGCTGCGGCATACACCGGGGAGGCTTTGTACTCAATCCAAAGAATGGTTTCTACGACAAATTGGCACTGCTGATGGACTTCAATTCTCTGTATCCGAGCATTGTACAAAGTACAATTTGTGTTTCACTACCGTGCCCGATGCGGCGTACGTCGAGGTAATTTTGTCACGTACAAACGACAGAGAAGCAGATATTAATTTCGAGTAAAACGCAATTTACATGGTGCAGCAGTTAAATATTCCTGAGTCGAATCTGGAATCAGGGATAATCCCGACAAAGATTCATAAATTAGTCAAAAGCAGGCAGCATACAGCTCGTAAAAACGCCGGAACAGAAAGTGGATTACCGTATCAGGCAAATGGCATTGAAGCTCACGGATAATTTCATGTATGGATGTGGGGGGCGACGCATTGTCGATTTTATGCTAAAGGCTTCGCCGCTCTGATAACAGGTAAGATACGAGATGGATATTTAAAATGTATATACCTATGCAGTATGAAATATTTTTTATGAATTATTTTTTTAAATATTTTAATTAAATATTTCGAAATATTTTGTAAACATTTCTAAAACATTTTAAATTATTACATCAAAATATTTCACAAAAGTATTCTAGAAATATTGTACAAATATCATAAGAAATATTTCTGTTGAAACATTTCAAGAAATATTTCGAGAACTCTGATTTTCTAGATATATTTTTATTTCAGAAATATTTCAAATATTTTCAAATTTTCAAATCTTGTATGAAATATTTTGAAAATATTTCACGCTGTGTGGGTATTGATGAGCTTGAAGCATTTTCCACTGTTCTTTAGCCAAAGGTCGGGAGATCTTGGAGGGCACGAAACGCTTGGTTGAGAAACTGTAATACGAAATAATTTACGGGGACCGTACCGATTCTCTGAGGATAAACATCAACATTTTGGAATACAACGACGTTTTTTTCGATCGGCAGAAAGGTAAGATATTCCATCGTGTAATTTTGTATTATTCGTGATACTCTCATTGCATTTATATCATGCAAAGATATTATCATTAGCAATACTACAGAATTGAGAATATTTTTTAGATTATGCGCAAAGTCAACAACCGATAGGTAGAATAAGAAAGCCGGATTAGATATCGACAAGGTATTCCGGTATTTATTGTTGTTACAAAACAAGAAATACGCTGCAGTTATGAAATTGCCAAATGATCAAGTACAATTGGCGCCAAAGGTTTGGATATTGTAAGAAGAGATTGGTACCCAGTGGCCTAGCTGCGACTGGAAAGTTAGCAGATATATTTCATAATACAGATAAATTTTATTCAAGTTTACTTAATTATTGTCTCGTTTTTTAGAAAAATTTTCATACTTTTGAAAGTACATATTATAACCAGAAATATTACAAATTAATAATTAAACTTGATACATGTATAAATAAGAAAAGATATAATTATCAATAAAACAATTAAATTATCAATAATCCAATTAAAAAATTCAAATTTTTAATGTATTTTTCAAAACTTAGTAATAAAATACTTTTCTGCGATCCATCGAACGTACGAAACGCGTTTGGAGTAGGACAGTTACTTTTTACTTACTTCGAATATTCGAAGCTACGACGTTAACTTCGATCTTTCGAAGTTTAAGGTGTCTTCGAAGCTTCGAAGTTTCGAAGTTTTGAAAAATACATTAAAAATTTGAATTTTTTAAAATTGGATTGTTTTATTGATCATTATATCTTTCCTTATTTACACATGTATCAAGTTTAAATATTAATTTGTAATATTTCTGATTATAACCATCGTTATACCATGTACTTTCAATTGTTTTTGGAATAATTTCGTATATATATATATTAATATATATATATAATTCTTTTTATTTACAATATTCGTAAATTTTCTGAATAAATTTATCATTTGCACAAATGTATTTTTCGAAACTTCGAAGCTTCCTAACAATTTAGGTACTTCGGAACTTATTACGTAAACTCCAAAAATGGAATAATATACCTATGCGTTGTACTTTATATGCTAATTTATTCGCCAAGTTAAGACAAACTTTTACCCTGCTTAAAAGATCTGATAGATATAATGATAAAAATAGATTTAAACTTTATTAAAATTTGATCTAATTTTATAATAAAGCTATCGTTTTTATTGAACTCACATTTGAACTGCTATAGAGAAGTTATCTATTTTTACCGTTTCTTAATTGTATATCTTAAATATTGTATCTTACTTAAACATTAAATACATCTAGAACGTGTTTTTTTTATATAACTTATCGAATTATCTAATCCAAACTGAAAATTATGACTTGTTACATATTTTATTATACATTTGTAAAAAATATTAAAATTATTTATATATAAAAAACACAAAATCTCTAAAATTAAAATATTACATAAATCATACATAAACTGAAAATATTGTACGATAATATCAATTTCGACATCAAAAGTAAACATTACTTAAAGTGACTTTTAAATTATATAGTATATACTAAATAAAGCAAAAAAAGATAACAAATCTGATATTTACGAATCAAAAACACGATAGAATTGTTTAAGTTTCTTCTTATCTAATTCTATCGGATCTTTTAAACAGAATGAGACGATAGCTTGCAAAGCAACTCTGAACTTACCGCTGGCTATTAATAATTCAGACAGATTCAACAAATGTCAGTTGCCTTTGACATTTAAATGCAAAAATAAACGATGTAATACGGAAGTAATAATTAAGCTAGGATATCGTTGCAGAATTTGTGAATGTCTCTCATCTCTCATCCGTTTCTCATCTCTGTTTTTATATTCATAATATTTTTTTTACTTTTTAATTTCAAAACTCTAAATATCCTTATCATATTCTGTCAAATAAATTGACATTTTTTTTAATGAGAATTTTATATTGCTATATAAGTATTTATACACATATATGTTATTTTTTCTGCAGCATTCTGATCGACAGCTATCATTTAGCATGATGTGTCGACTAATCAGAACTGTAAATTACCACCCTGGAAATACGCAAACGTAGTTAAAATATATACAAAGTGTAATTCAATTTGCCATGAGAAAAGCAATTGCCAAGTACTACACAATAGTTGACTGGAATGCGAAAATCCACTTTGTTCCAACAG